AAGTACTTGGAGGTAAAGCAAAATACAATTTTGTTGACCTCGGTATGTGACCAGCTTCTGGATCAGCCTACGGAAGACAGACGGATGTTATTATCTGTGTTGCCCGTCCTGCGGTTCGAGCTCTAACCAGCACAATACAACATTACGATGACATTAACCAACACGGTAGACAGCACTAAATATGTTAGGCCACCCTAAACAAAAATGTTTATACAAATTTGGGCTGTAACTTTGGGGGGAAAAATAATTGTTTTTTATGCATTGGTAAAAGTGTAATCCTAATAAATTGGGGGTTTGCTGGATGGGGGGGGTGAGTACGGAGTGGACTGTTTTGAGACAAGAGGGCTTGGTTGCGTCTCACCCTCTGTGCCTTTAGCCTGATTAGCCAAGGTACAAGAGCCTCAGACTGACCAGGCACAAGTGGTGGAATAGGTGGCTGAAATGGCAAAGACCCCGATAATGCATTTGGGACAGAAGGAAATAGATCCATCCCAGACCGGTCAACCGGTGGCTCTGGTAATTGAGAAGAAGCAGACCCATACCTGTCAAGTTTTGAATTTGAAAATAAGGGAAATTTTCCGGCACCCACCGCGAGCCACCCCATCACCCCAACCAAGCTCCAGTATCCCTTACATTTTAAGACAGGTGTACAAGTGATCTAAAATAACCACTTGTCATTTACATTTTATTTTCATTACACATTTTCTTTTAATATTCCATGTTCACTCATGTGGCTCTCTGGCATTTACTAATGACTTATTATACAGATTTGTTGCAGACTTTGTATCCTTGTTGAAATCGTCACAGAAGGTGAAAGTAGGGTTGTTTTTGGTACACAGCATTACCATTTTAATCTCCGCATTGATGACCTGGTTAATGTTGTAAATGACCTGCAGACTACTGCAGGTGGCAGTTCTCGCGAGGCTACTGACAGTTCAGTTTGGAGAGGCAGAGGAATTTTTTTTTAAATTATATTATAATACAGGAGATTTATGGGAAAATACTAATACGGGAGGACGGCGGGAAAGAGGGGTAAAATACGGTAGTTTCCCGGCCAAAACGGGAGACTTGAGAGCTATGAGCAGACCTAGGTTGTGGGTCTCTCAGGAGACCACTGAAAGACTTGAGACGGTTGTGGTGCACCACCCACCTACGGGACTGGGGGTTTTTGGGGTCTGATATCTCATATGTCACCCCTGTACTATCCATTTTGTCCAAACGCTGCAAGATGTTATATGGGCCCTTCCATCTAGGAGCTAGTTTGTTGTGCTTTTGAGCAGGGTCATCCAACAAAACCAAATCCCCCTCCTGGTAAGGATTAAATGACACCCTTTTATCATACTGCCCT